ACTAAGGATGTTCCAAATGATACATGGAACATGGTGAAAAATGATGCATTTTCTCTGAAATTCAAGTTTTACTGAAGTGCTCTTTTATCTGGCTACCCTAACCTGAGGGGGTTAAGTAGAGGGTGAATATGAGAGGACCAGCTTTGTGACCTGGGAACAAGCTGGCCCACCTCTTGTCATGTGTAGCTGGCTGGGGATGGGGTGGGACAAATGAACTAATTAAAACAAGGGTTCCGGACAAGGCTGGGGGGTGGGGTGGGATTGCTCTAGCCTCTCTCTTTTGGCCAGATAGATCCTGACTCTAGGAGACACTACCTTAGTTCCTGACTCACATACCCTCTTGCTGCAGGTTTCTAGTAACTTAGCCCTGCCCCAGGTGGGGGAGGAATCAAGGCAGGTTTTACAACCCCCATCAGCTGCCCTTGAAACCCATCCCAATAATGGTCAGTTCCAGATTCTAAACTCTATTCCCATCCACCCACCCACCCCCACTATTGTTTTAATGTTGTGGGGACAGTTTTTGAAAAAAAAAAAATCCCTATAGCACCTCTGGTGTGTGTCTCTGTTTCTTGGGAGGGTGGGTTCTGGGAGTTCTGGGGGTACCTGTGCCCCCATGGCTTCTCTCTTGGTCCGTCCCCTCCCATCCACTACCCTTGAACTTAAGGAAGGCACGTTAGAGCTAATGAGGGGGGGGCTAGGACTGGGAGGAGTTCACTGAGTGGGTCTCCTGTGCCCATCTGTCCTGGCACTCAATGTTGCTTTGCCACTTACCAGTTGGGTGCCCTTCGGCAAGTCACTTAACTGCTTGGTGCCTCATTCTTCTCATCTGTGAAATGGGAATCCTGCCCACTGTCAGGGCTGGCATTTAGATACAGCAAGGTTGTATGTGTACTGTGGTATTGAAGCAAATGTGGGGGGGGGTGTTATCTCAGGCCCACCTGGCACAGCCTCTGCCCTCAACTCCCTCTCTTCCCTCCCCTGGTGTCCTGGGACCCTGGAGATTGAGCCCTTGGAGGGACACTCAGCATCCCCATTTTAAAGATGGAGAAATGTGCTTGGGGAGGCCACATGCCCACTTTCTCTGAAGTATTAGCCATTATGAGAGAACATTTTAAACTCCAGTCTGCCGCACACAGCGCATGAAAGCTGCTGACACGAGGTTGGGGTGCATCTTTCCTGGGTGGGGACCCAGGGGCCATCTACCTCACTGGCCCAACTCCAGTTTCATCACCTTCCCCACCCACCACCGACTCCCACATTCACATCTGGGGGCCTGGACAGTACAGACACTCTGCAGCTGGGGGTCCCAGTGTGGCTGCCTTTCCCATGGGAACACTCGGCCCTAGGACCAAGAGATCTGGGTTACTGTGCATGGCTCAGCCTCTCACCCAGGAAGCAATTAGAGGTATAATTAAAATATAATGAAGTATCCCCCTGTTCGCTCATTAGAGCTCAAGAGGGAGATAGTACTGGGAGTTGTTCGGAGCCAGACAGTGACCCCAAGGGAGAGAGGGAGACGTTTGGACACACAGTGGCTGTCCAGTAGGGTTGAAGGCATCCTGGGAGTCTAGCTGAGGGTACCACCAGAGAGAGAGAGGCACTGTTCCAGCAAGGTCAAGTAGATGTGGACCAGATAGATCTAAATGGGGGGCCACCAGAGGACAAACCCCTCCACCATCGCCAGCAACTGCAGATACTGGAAGGGCCTGGAGAATCTGTGTTTGACCATTGATGGAGATATGCCAATCATTAAGAGCCCTGGGGCTTCTGGGAGATTTGGCCAGAGCCACACCTTTAAAGAGCATGCCCCTATCTACAGTTTAACCTGGAACCTGGGGCCCCGGATTGAGGATGCAGAAAGGGAACATTGGAAGTAGAATTAGAGTTTGTCTATCTGTTCCCCCTCTCTGCCATCTCCTCCAGGCCCCGTGGCTTCCTGCCAGTGGACAGATGGGAGGCTGGAAAGAACATTTTGTGGGGGAGGGCACGGCAGATGGGTGCTTCTATCACCTGTTGCTCTAACCCACTGAGCTGATGTTCTAACAGGAAACGCCTTGGAGAGGGCACATGAAGAGCTCAAGGTAGCTACCTTACCTTAGTAGGAATCCAACCCCCAAATGTCACTGGTATGTTAAACTATCTGCCAAGGCCACAGGACCCTACTGAATTTTGTTTTTGTTTTTGTGCCTGGTTCCAAAAGGATTGGAGGCAGTTTACAAAACGACATGAAGAAAAAACATTAGTATAAAAATAGATCAGAGAGAACACAATGTTGGGACAAAGTACAACCATTCTAAAGGCTGTGCACAGAAATGTGTCCCAGGTGGGCCTCCGTATTCTCAAAGGCGGGCTGCACCGTGACTCTGAGCTTCCTGTTAGTCCAAGGAAAAGGGGGAATGAATGAGACACAGAAAGACCACGGGACAAAAAAGGTCCCAGAATTAACACGGGTCTGGGAGATGTTCTGGTGAAGCCTTTGAAGAGGACAGATGGGGTCTTGAACAACAGCTTGATAACTAATATGGTCACACACTCACTCCCTTAGGCTTCTCCTTACAGATTTGCACAGGTATCGATGGAGGATTGATGCCAAGGTGCACATCAATAAAGCTGAGTCTATGGAGAGAAAGGTGATCCAACGGAATGTGGAAATCATCAAACAACATCATTAATATCACATGCGAGTGAAATTATGCTGAAGGGAATTCAAAAAAAGATTGCAGCAGTACTTTTAGGGGGAGTTGCCAGAAATTCAAACTAGATTCAGAAGAGGACCTGAAGTACGGGATGTTGTTAGGTGCCATTAGTCGGTTCCGACCCATAGCAACCGCATAGAGGATTTCCAAGGAGTGATTGGTTAGCTTGAACCACCAACCTTGTAATTCAAACCAACTTTGCAGTCTAGTGCATTAACCCATAGCGCCACACTAGGACTCGAGAAGAAGGGATAGCATTGCTCTTATCAGATGGATCTTGGCTAAAGCAAAGAATACCTGAAAATACCTGTGTTTTATTGACTTTGCAAAGACATTTGACTGTATGAATCCCAACAAATTATGGCTAACATTGCGAAGAATGGGAATTCAAAAACACAAAATTGTGCTCATCAGAAACCTGTACATAAACCAAGAGGCAAGTGTTCGAGCCCAACAAGGGGATGCTGAATGGATTAAAATCAGGAAAGGTGAGCACCAAGGTTATATTCTCTCACAATACTTTATTCCCTCTGTATGCTGACAGAATAATCCGAGAAGCTTCACTGTGTGAAGAAGAAGGCGACGTTAGGATTAGAGGAAGACTCATGAGCAACCTACAATATTGGGATGACACAATTTTGCTTGCTGAAAGTTAAGAGGACTTGAAGCACTTACTGATGAAGATCAAAGATTACAACCTTCAGTATGGATTACACCTCAACATAAAGAAGACAAAAAAACCTCACAACTGGACCCATAAGGCACATCATGATAAATGGAGAGAGGATGGACGTTGTTAAGAATAGCATTTTACTTGGATCCACAATTAACTCCCATGGAAGCAACAGTCAAGAAATCAAACGATGTATATTGCATAGGGTAAATCTGTTGCAAAAGACCATTTACCTTATTGGCTGGAAGCGTGGTCCTGAGGAAACAGGCACTGCTTTCTAGCCACTAGAGTGTGAGCATTTAAGTCTGGTTAGGTCTAATTGAGAAGTGACCACGTGTGCGTAGCTTCCTAGTTTCTCCTCCTGAAATCAGGTCGAGGGATGTCTTGAGCAGGTGGGCTATGGGC